TAATTGTTTAAATTTTAATCAGGTCGAGAAAATGCGGTTAAATACAGATGAATGCTAAATTATTGCAGCCCGGAGGACCGGGCTGCTCTATACATATAAGTTTAAGTGTTGGTATATGGGGATTGAGGTGGGAGAAGTTATTCAGAATTAAAGGTTTTCTAAACATTAAAAAGATTGTTAATCAGAATGTTCTTTCCCTTTATAAATTACGAGACACACAATATATTTACTTCCATAAAGTGAATCTGTAAAAATATATATGTTTTTCATACTTAATATATAAAGTTGCTTATCATTTACTATCGAAAAAACGACAGGTCCCTTTTTTTTAGAACATCGAATTTTACTTATCGCATAAAAACGTAAAAATGTACTTTACACAGTTCGTGTTTTATATTCTTAAAGTGAAAGATATTTTTGAAAATAGGTGATGCATGTGCCTGGTTTCAAATTATATTTTATGCAGCCAACATTTACTTGAGGAATTGATAAAGTTTAAAAGGGTATCGTTTTTGTTCGATTTTCATCCGACTGTAAGTTTTCAAAATATTCTCGACTATCGTCTCCATCATTTAGACGCATGCCTTTTTCACACATATCGAAGCGGTTTGATGATAAAGACTCATTTCCATTGTTTACTTTATTTATTTCCCGGGCGACAATTGATGGTTACATCAATGTTTTCTTGTATTTAATGTCATAGATATAAATCGGTAAAAGCTAAATTCATTTGTTATGCAGGTAATGACATTAAACTTTATAAATAAGATCTATATTTGAGGGATCGGGATTCAATATAATAACTCAAAAATTATGTTTCATTTATTGTTGTTCAGAAGCCTAGTAAATCTTATTTTTGATTTTGATGTTAATTTGTACACGCTTTTTCACATGCTTTTCCTTGTTAGATAAGGGGATATAGCAATATAGATGATAGATTGTCAAGTTACACTGTCTTGGGACGTTAGCAAAATGCATAATATACATTGTATATATGTAATCCCAATACAATACATCTTGCAAATCCACACTTTCTGCATGAAGAAGTAATTAAGCAGTCGATTCAATTATTCTCAATACATAGGTTGCTTATATATCAGTACATAATTCTAGATACTTGATGATCAAAGAAACTTTGTGGTATGTATAGTGTAACTTTTGTAAAAGCAATGACGTTTGAGGACAACTTTTTCCCAATCTTTTCATTCCTCTTTGTTCAATAATTATTTCAGAATTTTTAAAATCTTTCTTTTTTTTAGTTGTATTTCAATGTGGATTTTAAAAAAAAATTCGTCTAGTTATGGTGACAATGTTTCTCCATGATACTGTCATCTCTATGTAAAGTATATATACAGAGTGATGTTTAAGGTATAATGTTCTGGCATAAAGCAGGAAATTTATCCATGCATCAAACCTGTGATTCCAACTGTTTCTAAGCTCTAATAAATAAAATTATTAAAGTTATTTTATGATGTTAATTTATGCTGAATGTTGTGCGACTTTGCCATCACTGTATATTTCATGGAAGAAATACTGTTGACTAACTTATTGTACATTAAGCTCAAAGTATGACTCTCTTGAACTATGCAAAATAATTTTCATTAATCATAAATAAATTTATGACTAGCAGTATTAATATTATATTAATGTTGTAGAATGAGCCTTAGTTAATTATGATAACTTATAAAACCAGGACATACTTTTTGTAATGTAATGGTGAAGGCATATCATAATTAACTTTAACATTCAATAAATTTTGTCTACATGTCATGTCTTCTAAATTCTACTTACTTTAGTTTTTGTATTATTGGTCAAAAGTATACATATATTATCTCCCTATCCACATAAAATAAATAAAATGTTCAGATGCAAATAAAAGAAATACTAATTATAACTACTTTGATAACCAGAATCTTACATCTTGGAAATGATTTTTAAGAAACAAATCAGACATTGCAAAATAATATCAGGATCAAGGCTAATTAAGATACGTCTTGAATTCATTAGGAAACGCTGTAATTATATCATAATAGAAATTGGCGACAATCAAATGCCAGAATGATCCTATATTAATCAAAATAAATTCCTCCTACGCTTTGAACATTACTAGCATATCTAAGTAATTACGAGCAACAATAGAAAAACAAATTCTTCAAATGCTGTGTATTTCCATCTTTTGATTTACTTGCTGGTGCTTTTATATGTGTAATATGTAATTGTAAGACAAATATCTTTACTTAATTGCGTACTTGTATTTTACTAGAGGTCGGTCGTGAATGTCTAAGTTTTCTTACACATTTATAAATTTCCTTTAGATAATTATTCTTTTCTGTGAGGCTGAGTGGCTGCCATAATGCATGCAAAACTTATTTTTAACATCTATGTAGTCTTTGGAAACCAGGACTTCCAATAAGCTGTTGGAATTTCTATGGGAACTTATTGTGCTCCTTTATTAGCCAGCCTGTTTTTATACTCATATGAGGCAGACTTTATTCAAAAAACTTCTGCATAAGAAGAAGAAAACACTTACTGTAGACTTCAACTATTCAGATATATCGACGATGTTTCATCATTTAACATTAGGTACTTCCATCCATATATCCCAGTGAATCGAAATTAAAGACTTCTCAGGGTTGCCACATCTCTGTCATATTTAGAAGTTTTACTGACTATAGATGATAAGGGCCAACTAACAATTAAACTGTCCGGATATGGCAAACGAGATACTTCAGCTTTTCGAACGTCAATTTCCCTTATCTAACTATCACATGCGTATTGTGTTCATGTCTCCCAACTTATTCGATACTCATGCGCATGCTCTGAATACGATGATTTTTAAACAAGGCAATTTTTAAAGTAGGCAGGCACCTGACAATTAAGTTGATGTTATATGGATTTCAACAACCTGGTTTAAAGTAGACGTCAGCTTTTTGTAAATTCTATGGCCGTTATAATGACCTTGTTTGCTATTACAACCTATCATTGGGTCGTATTTTGACTGACCTATTTCATACCAATTGCTAGTCCTTTGTTGTTATACTAAATTGACTTCGAATTATTCAGTCTACCTGATCAGTACATTGGGTTCATGGCGGGTGTGACCGGTCAACAGGGGATGCTTACTCCTCCTAGCCACCTGATCCCAACTCTGGAATTTCCACAGGTCCATGTTTTATGCCCTTTTCACAGATTTTAAGATTGATCACTGTTCGTTATTTTCACTTATTTCATTCTAAAGAATTTTCTTGTCTAAATGAATGAATGATTTAATGAGAATTAAATAAAAGAAATGATTGAACCAAAGATCGTCAACAAAATCCTCTGTAAAAATTCGTATTTTCTTCATATACAGCAAAGACATCTTATGTCTCCATCGTTACCCACATTAAGGTATCCAGAGGAGTTTAGAGTGGAAAAATATCGGCCAAAACATGAGATTGTGTAAAGTTTTAGGCGACATTATCTTTTATACAGATTAAATGGTTTTCATGATTTTATCGACTTTTGTGTAATTTTTGGGCCGAAATTCTTTATCGTGTACAATATCTTTGCCTATCCATGTTATCCAAGGGAATAAAATATGTTACAAGAAAAAATGCTTTCGTGAACATATCTGTATCTTAGAGAATGAGGGTAATATCTGCCACAGACATCTCAATGTAGACATTTGTTATCCCCAAACACGTGTTCCAAGACTGACACTGTAGCTATTTTACTACGCCATGGTGTTTCCGTTATAATCCGAAATGACATGCTCTTCTTTTCGCGACCTTCTCCTCCACATAACCTTAATCTCTATCACGAAAACAAGCTCCGAAACACTGTGAACATGTCCTCTAGACAAGATATTTGGTATTGATATTGTACTTTGGGATGTGTTTGCACACATTTCTGAACAACTTGTCAAACGGCCAAATAACTTGCTATGTTCCGACATGGAGGGGGAAGCTGGGATGTCATGTTAATCTCCTTCTCAAGTCTACTCCTATAACACTCAACTATAATACTTAACTCACCCTTCGTGTTACTATTTATTTTTTTATGTATGGATAGGTTGAAAACCGAGGAACTGGTTTTCTGATTTACTCGTGATACTACATTTAAGTAAATATACTAGATTTGAAATTTCCTTGGTAATCATCATGTCTCCTCGAGTGTGGTTTTCTGTTTACATGTCAGAAACTTACTTTTGGACAATAATTATCAATACATGAGCTTGACTCAAGGTCATATATAAAAGGTCAAGATCACTGTATCATGTAATAGTACCGGACTATATTAAGTAATTCTTACGGCTTGGATTGCAATAAATGGCCAAACTTTATATTGTTACGAGTGACCCATAGGCGTGCCTTAAAAGTGAAAGTCACTTACAAATGATATATTGAAACAGTGTCCGGGTTATAATTCTTGACCGCTTGATTGAGAAATAAATTTAAAAGTAAGAAACTGGGAAAAAGGAAGAGAGACATTCGTGTTTGCCCCCCTTCCCCAACTTTGTTCATTATTGCATTCGACATTGCTACATATCATAAAAACAACCACTGAGACAAAACTAATGCTACTGACATCTACAATTACACATGCAGACGCTCTAAAAGGTATGCCACATACGACTAACGTCCGGTGACTTGTATGAAGTCCAAACCTCTATGTTCCCGCCACATGTATAGTATCATTTCACCTACTTTTTGTACTAACCACAGACTGCTTGTCGGCATATCATCTGACATACCTCACATTGTTGTCCACAACAATCATATCACACATACTTGGCTATGTGCTTTGTTGTATCCAATTTTTATTATAAACAACATCAAATGAAGTCCCAAGTGTCATAAAAGATATACAACATCAATTGTCGGTATGATACTGAGGGAAGGTTGAAAGTAACACTTGCACGTTTTGATGAACAGTGAAACAACTGACAAAAATATTGACTTATATAAGTGTTAAATACTGAATATTTCTTTGTGAATTTAAAAAAAAAACATGTATACCTTCTTAACATGCTTACTATTGAGCAATTCTTCTTTCTTAGACTTTTTTCTTCTGAATCTTCTGGGTCCACTTTGCAATGTGACTCATGAAGACTGTATTTAAAGTAGCCGAAATAACTGGAAAGGGATTATAATGATATTCAAATGAATCATTTTTTGCATCAGAAATGTTGATAGATGCAGATGTCAGCTTGTAATAATGATCAATTTAAACATTTTACCATACAATAACGATGGTTTATGTTTCGAGCTCTTATCATGAATGCTTCAGCTTTAATAGCAAATCCTGTTAGCCTGGCATGCTTTTTGTATCATTCAACTAATTATCCTTGTGTCATTTTCGTGGAAGCATCAGATTTTAACATCATCTTGCTTTTACTCCGATGTAATTTACGCGCGAACCAACAAATGTTACCGGAAGTGGTATCTCTGTTTGTGAAACGCTTTGTCTATCATTTTCCTCTTTGTGACAGATGCGCTTGTGACGATTTATCACAGAATTGCTAGGATTTATCAAGAATTAAAAGTGAAGACATGTTTTGGTTTGCGTCAATGTTTGTCATTTTATATAATAATACTGATGCTGAGACAAGACACATGGTGTATGTACTTTTTTCAATGAACTTCATCTTTTAAAAGAACAGAGAAAAGCAGAAAAACATTTCAAATGTTATTTTTAAGTCTATCAAAATTTGGAAATTCGCATATATATTTTACAACAAAATATATCTATTTTCACATATTTGGTTCCTTTTATCCCATCACTTGGAATTTTAATTTCATCATGTTATTAATGCTATCAAGACGGCTTCTGGAGTAATCAGTTCTGAAATTCTCCGACTGATTTTGTGAGGGTTATTTTAGTAAAGACAAAGAGTTTAAACTTGGACACTTTGTAGCTGCAATAAGAATTCAAAGATTGGATTTTGTAAAGGGAATAAAAGTTACCAAAAATCGTCATCTCTTCTATTGCAGACGATTGCAATAATCATTTTATGATTTAACTGCATGGAATGTGACTTTTACTCGAGACTTTTAAAGCTACAAAAAGTACCATATTCAAAGTAAGAAAATCCATAGGGATATCGAAAAAAAATATGTAACATTGCCAATTAAACTTATCTAAGAAATAATAATGGTTCTTTTATATATTATACACTACATATACTGTAGTCTACTATAATACAATTAGCACGTCCTCAAATTAATTATCACTGCCAAATGATGTAACTGCATGTTGGTTTCCAGGAATTTAAAGATAAATGGGGCATAGGCAGCAGAAGACACGTTGACTTGGCAGTACTTCGTACAAATGTTATTTTAATAAAAGTCATTGGAAATACTAACAGTTCAAGGATATTAACAAAATCCAATAATTAAGGTAAATGTTTGGTTATCAGCTACCACTCTTGTGTGGCTAACCTCTTCCGCTTGTAAAGTTCGCTGCAAGTTTGTGAATTTATTATCATGACATTAAAATCTAAATGTTGCTCGCTCAAGTTTCCTACGAGCAAAATATCTTGTCTTTGAAAGTAATAAGTAAACGTCATTTCTGTGTAGTCTTAAATTTATGTGGCATATGACACATGTAAAACAATACCCAGAACTTGGCCAAAACATGATTAATCGTCTGTTTGCCTCTTTAATTGTTCATTTTATCATCAACCTTGGAAAAAAAGTGTTAAATGGAGCCTCTTAAAAGGTCGTTGTTGAAATGTAAGCATTGTTAAACCAATTCATTTATATCTAAGATTTCACTTCCTTGAATTGGCATTTAAAATACTGTTTCTTATAATGATTTAAGACTTACAATTTCATGCTCTTTGATTGGCAAACATCAATAATGATAATATACATGTAATGAAATAATTTTAAAAAGTATGTTATTGTGATCGATTTTTATTTTGTTTGTTTGTTTTGTTTTGTTTGTTTGTTTACATGTATTGAAATAATTTTTTAAAAAATATATATATATGCAATGCCATTGTGATCGATTTTTAGTTTTATTTGTTTGTTTTGTTTTGCATGTTTGCTTGGTGTTGTTTTAATTTTTTTTTAATTTTTTAATTTCTTTTTTATTTTTGTTTGTTTTGTTTTTTTGTTTTTGTTTTTGTTTTTTTGGCAAACTCCTACATGTAGGTCTCTAAATAAAATTCACTGAATTTTTAATTTAATTCAAGAAAAGGATAAGAGGGGAAAATGATATTAATACATATAATCAGATCTTTTTTTATAACTGCTCTGTGTTGTTATGAAATAAGTTTAATCTTATATTATAAGCTATGGTATAATATTTGTAAAATGGGGAATGTTCATTTGTTCATTCCGTTCCTAAACAAAATATAAAAACACTTTAAATGAACTTAAGTAATCTTGTCAAGATCAACAGAGGATGTAATAAGTAAAATGAAATGATATTTTTTTTAGGTAGAAAATAAATTCATGTAGAAGTAGAGAGAGAGAGAAATTCAAATGTGTTGATCTCGACAAAAAAATTGATAATCGCTGTTCATAATTTCAATATTTTGCATTTATAAAGTACTTTGCTACGCTATAAATTATGCTATGCATTTGATAACTTCAACAAAGAACACCTTCTTGGATAATTTGTTGGTTCTAGGCTATATCTAACAACATGAAGCTCAAGTCAAATATTTATGACATTTGTGATTTTTATTTAAAGTTCATTTTGGTTGAACATGTTCATATGATATGTCTGAACATTATCCTCTTACTGATTCTTTTAAGTTCCTCAAAACATTTAAAACTATGAGTCAGCCAATAAATCATATAAATTAACCAAGAAGGAAAAGGCTTGAGGAGGGTGAATACAGCTGAGAACATGTTGGTCATACACATGAAATCAGGTAAAACAGTTTAAGTGAGAAAAAAGGGCAATATTTCATATGACAGGAATTAAGAGAAAGGAAATAAATAGCTAAGTCGTTATTGAAAATTGATGTTATCTGCGAAACTACCATCAAACATACCGACTTTTACTGCTTCCGGTTGAGACAACTGTTTCCGGCGCGTGAACATGCTTCTCCTGTCAGGCGAACACCCGCTCAGAACATTATTGACAAAAAGCCGTGTGGTAGTCATGGATAATCGCTTTGATATTTCCCTAATCCCTCTGATTTTCTGCTAATATGTGTTAAGCTTATCCAAGAGTCAAACATTCACACAACAAATGTCAAATACACAACATGCATAAAGTGTAGATATATGTGTCCCTGCCAAGAAAGAATTAATATGCACTGTCTGTTCTATTCCGAGCCTTAAATATTGACGACAAATTTTGAAGATAATCATTTGTTATTATTAGAAGGATTTTGCATTTTAAACGACAAGCCGTAAATTCATACTCTACGAATATTAATAAGAAGAATCTAACCGATAAGTAGGTCCACTTAGATAGTATGAGAGATACTAATGACAGCTATATATGGGAGCTTTCAATTTTTGAAATTATACTTTAAAAATTTTTTTAAAACAAACTGTAAATTGACGGGATCCATTTTCCAGATAAAAAGGATGAAAACTTTCGCATTGTATTAACGAAATTTATATATTTTACAATAGATGTGGAAGTTGTGTTACAGACAATTTAGTCCACACAGCTGTGTTTGCATTCCATATTTCTTTGTTCTGTCAATCGTGTTTTCTTAGCATAGTCCAAACAACTGACTGATATTCTAAAGATAATGCTTATGGCATACTTCTGTATAATATTGCGGGAAAAACTGGACGGCAATACCAATTATCTTTCAACTTCACACGGAATATTCGTGATAGTAATGAATGTATTCTTTCTAAAAATATTAAATAAATAACAATACAGGCGTCCAGAGGTTTGTTTTGAAAGTAATGAAATTGATGTGTCTGTTTTGTTACAAAAAAAATCTCTTGATCGTTTCGAAACAATTTCGTCCAAAGAATTTAAAAAGACAAGAGTCTGTGCTCGGTCTTTCGAAATAGAAAGATACCGGAAGTAAATTTGTGTCTCGTTTTGAAATGTAGGGCTCAAATGTAATGCACATTCCAGTAATCTAATATATGCTTAAAAAAATTACAGACTATTTATATATATAAAATATATCTTTGTCTGAGAATATATGGTGGTTGTCTGAAAATATATGGTCACAGACAGTAAGTGTTGAAGAAGTATTGGTATGGCAAAAGGTAAAATGACTGGAATTGGATTTGAGACTATTAAAACGATTTGCATGTATATGTGACATAGTCATTGTGAAACACAAGAGTGACATAAGGAAATCGATTAGTGTTTGTCATTTGATTACACGATTGTTTACTTTTTCCAAATATCATTTACACTTTAATTATTCATTTTTTTATTGTGCTAAAAATCGTTAAAAATGTTTGGAAGAGCAAACTACGTAAGCATTTCAAAAACAGTTATGAAAGTTATTTTATTTTTTTGACACATTTACAAAAAAATTTGCAGATTATTGCATAAAGATCTAAAAGTTGTTTTTCGTAAGTTAATTCCTTTGTACTTTGTCTCCACTTTGAGCTTGAAAAAGAATCATGGAATATTCATTCAGCACAAAAATAGAAAAAAGGAAAATATTAAAAGTCCTTAATTAAAATTCTTTTTAATTATTCGTATAATGCTTTGCAAGGCGTTAAAGCCATCACGGTGTTTGACAAGCGTTGACCTCCTCTTACCCCTCCAACACTTTGTAAAACAGACAAGTGACTTTGATTAGCAGACGACATGCTGAGGTATATGTTGTTTTGTCCTCCTATGCTAATGAGGAAAAAATTGTATTTAATCATGAGCTGCATGAATACAACCACATTATCAACCACGTAATCGGCAAGTCCCCCGGTAATGACCTGATTTAAGATTGTAGTAGGTAAGGAAATAAAAAAGAGTGGGTGGTGGCAAGCTTATTGGACTTATTCACTTTTTATGGGACACATAAAGACATTTTTGTTTACAAATTATTACATTAATAAAATTATAGATTATCACGATGTGAGATAGAAAATTAAATTTACTTTTCATCGCAACTTTTTTGTTGGGCTCAAATCTCCTTAATGATCATAGTAAAGGCCTATATATATATTTTTAAGGACGATGCCAATGGGCAATGGATAAACTTCATTTTTAACGATATCATTTTTTTTTTTTTTTTTTTTTTTTAGAAATTCTTATCCATTTTTTATAAAGAAATAGTTTATACATTTTAGATTCATTCAAAAATTCCGTATTGATTTTCATTCATTTCTCATGTATTATACAGAGTACATAATATAATCATAATGTTGAATTATTTTTTTTCTTCAAAGAATATAACAATGTCCGGGTGCAATAATTCAGTTGAGTTCATTCTTGTGAAAAACTGAGATAAGCTTAAGTTGATTGCAGTTTAAAATTATTCTTGTTTTTTTTTTTTTTCTTCAAAGAAAATACTGGATTTTTTTAACACAAAATACCACACCTGACTTGTCCAGTTAAAAGTTCAGAAAATAATATTTTCTCGATAATGCGACCATCTGCATTTGTTTAACTGTTCGAACACTCAGATATATAAAATTGCAGTTCTAATATTCTCCAATGACCAAGATCTTTCCAATGATGTCAATATCTGTAAAGTTTTAATGTCTGGTAGAAAAAAATGACCATTTTATATTTAAATTTCGGATCATTGAAAATCTGAATGTAGTGTATAACCCACATATGACCTTGACTTCAAAGTTAAATATGTGCTTATATGACTTGAAAGTCAAAGATCAAGGTCATATCTCCTATGTGGTTGTACACCACATGCAGAATTTCAAAATCAGAAGTTTAATATTAAAAATTCATTTTCATAACAGACACTAAAACACTTTTTTTCACCTCATGGGCAAAGAACAAGGTCATTCGAGAAAAATGACACTTTTTTTCAAGGTAAACCAACAAGATAAAGATTATGACCAAGCAAAACCTTTCTCTAATATGATACTGACACTTGGAATCTCCTATCTCAAAAATATCAAGGTCGCATATCAATACAATATAGCGAAATGGTTTCGTGAATACTTCAATCTTATCAAATAAATTCAAACTTGAATATTTTTTGCTGTTTGCCGAATGTTGTGTTTCGACTTTGACTCAGTATCATATTTCAAAGGCCAATGACACTGGGCAAGAAGAAATTGAAATGATGAAACAAATCTCTGTTAATCAACATTTCAATCCATTTTTTATGCCACCGTATCGAAGATTCGGGGGTATTTAGTTTTTGCCCTGTCCTAACCCTCTGTCTAGCTGTCTGTTAGTCTGTTTGTCCGCAAAAACTTTAACATTGCTCATAACTTTTGATTGGTTGGAGCTATGGCTTTCATATTTAATACGTGTACTCCTTGTGACAAAACCTTTCTTTGGGTACAATCATATTTGACCTTTTGACCTTGACCTTGGAGTTCGACCCAGGTTTACAAAAAATTTTCCCAACTATAACCTTGGCCATCACTTTTGAACGGTTGACGCTAGGATTTTCATATTTCACATAAGTAATCCTTGTGACAAGACCTTTCGTTGGATACCAACAACTTTAACCCTTTGATCTTGACCTTGGAGTTTGACCTACTTTTGAAAAACTTTAACATTGGCTATAACTTTTGAACACTTCATGCTAGGGCTTTCATACTTCTCATGACATTGTATAATCCTTGTGACAAGACCTTCCTGTGGTTACCAACAACTTTGACCCTTTGACCTTGACCTTGGAGTTTGAGTTACTTTTGAAAAACTTTAACATTGGCTATAACTTTTGAACGGTTGACGCTAGGGCTTTCATATTTCACATATGTAATCCCTGTGACAAGGCCTTCCTTTGAATAGCAACAACTTCGACCCTTTGATCTTGACCTTGGAGTTTGACCCGCTTTTGGAAAACTTTAACCTTGGCCATAACTTTTGAACAGTTGGTGCTAGGGCTTTCATTCAACACATGTGTTATCCTTGTAACAAGCCCTTCCTGTAGATACCAACAATTATAGCCAATTGACCTTGACCTTGAAGTTTGACCTACTTTTGTAAAACTTTAACCTTGGCCATTTCTTTTGAACAGTTGGTTCTAGGGCTTTCCTACTTCACATATGCAAACCTTGTGACAAGACCTTACTTAGGATACCAACAACTTTGACCCTTTGACCGTGACTTTGGAGTTAGACCTACTTTTGAAAAAAATTAACCTTGACCATATCTTTTGACGATTGGTGATAGGGCTTTCATATTTCACATGTGTATTTCTTGTGAGAAGGCCTTTCCTTGGACACCATTTATTTTGACCCTGACCTTGATGTTTGACTTACTTTTAAAAAACTTTAACCTTTTCCATATCTTTTCAATGGTTGCTGCTAAGGCTTTCATATTTCACAGGTATATTCCTCGGTACAAGACCTTACTTTGGGTACCAACATATTTGATTTGCATTTGAGAAAGTTTAACCTTTGATATGAGTTGCCATAGGGGGGCATCAGTGTTTCACAAACACATCTTGTTGTTGATTATAATTGTATTGGTTTTTTTTTTTAAATCAATTGCGTGTTGTTAACGTAATATAGTTATGGTTTAATTGATGAATTGGAGAAATCGTGTCCGTACCATAACTATTTATGCCTTGACCTTGGCATCAGATATTTTTAGCATGTGAGCATGTGGGTATCATATTTCTCTTTTGATCCATCATGATTCATAACCACTGTATGAAATTGACTTTTGATATCAGAGTCAGTTTTCTAGTTTGTTGGCATTGTCAGTCATGGACAACAACATACACAACAAAATTTAAATCCACTGCAACCAAGGGTTCGTGGACACGCAAACAGACAGACATGTAGACTATTATGCCAAAACCAAATGTCTCAGTCCTTTAAGAAAGACTACTTAAAATTCAATGCAAAATAATATGTGGACTATCCATCGCTGGAAGAGAAACATACATGCATGTAATGTATTAAGCAACACAAAGAAGATTTAATCCTTTGTGCACTTAGATAAAAAATCCAATGCTGAATTGTCTTTGATGATGATGATCGATTGACAATGAAGTACTTAGGGCGTTAAATGATATACCATTGAGTGATGCCTGTATCAAGGCTAAATAGCCGCTTATTTATGCATTTTAAATTTAACGTTTTTTAACTCTCTTTAAACTAGATCAGTTTTGTTCCGTGTACTCTACGGAGACAATTGT